TTAAAAAAATGAAAGCTGTCTTTATGGTGAAAATGAATACCGTATTCAAAAATATGATATTTTTGTGTAAAAATTCTGGGTTTTGTATTTTATTTTATTTTAAAATACCTGATAAGGGGAGAACACTGATTTTCATAAATATTATATAAATCAAATTGATATACTATAGAAAGTTAAACTTATATAAATTTTTTTAAGTAGGGAGAAATAACTTTAATATTCAAATTAACTTAAATTACCATTTTTTCATTCGCGAAAACTACGTACGATTGCCTAGTTGGTAACACTTGTGTCTTACGCGCTTGGGGTACAAGGTTCTAAGTCGCGTATGGGAAAGAAATTTTTTGCATTTTTTTCTTAATTCTTATTAAGTCAGAATAAATTTTCAACTCATTTGATTTTCATCTCATTTAAATTCAATAACTTCAATAAAGATCAAGAATCTCCTCATCACTTTAGTCGCCCATCGGGAGAAGAAATTTCTTATTCATATTAAAATTATTTTACTATATTTTAGGTTTTAGCTTTGATGCATAGGTGAGAAGGTATTTATTTGTGACTATCATTTATTTTCTCTGTTCTAACTTGACCTACTTTTTTCAACGATACGTCAAATGATTACAATTCGTGTATAGTTGAAGATATTACCCTCAAAAATTGAAAAAAAAATTCTAAATAATCAATTAAACAGTTACTTATTCCATGTTTTCGATACAGACAATTAAAATAATTTATTTTTAATGTTTTCAAAGTATTTATTGACGAATCAAGTTGGATATGATAGTTTCAACTACAAAATTAAATCATTTTACTTTGTAATTTAATAATTTTTTTAGTCTATTTGTGTGTGCTACTATTAGACTATAATATTCTAAATTTGTTGGTAATATGTTGCTATATAAATAATTTCTAAAAAAATGATTGTTAGTTTCTCCTTAATTAACAATGGATTTTTACAATTATAATTAAATTTTATTTAACACTTTTTTTTAACAACTTTTTTTGATTGGTTTTTTTAGTTGAAGTAAATCATTAAAATTAATTCAGTTAATATTTCAATAGTAGAATCTTTTTAAACACCAAAATTTACAAGGAAATTATTTCTATTTAAGTTATCTATTACGATAAAAATCCAAAAAAATATTCAGCTTTTCTGATAAATTTACTATAAATAGTAATTATAAAATTTCCTGGCTGCATATTAATCTTAACGATATAATTTTTTTAATTCTCATAAAATTTTCTATTTATTGATGTTAATTTTAAACTTGCAAGTGGAGCTAAAAGTTATGATAATAAATTCATTTTTTTTTTGTTATAAACTTTTACAAAAATCAACTTTAAAGGATTAAAAAAATAGATTAAATATGTCGTTTTCCTTATTTTTAACATATTAATAATCAAAATCAATATTAATTTAAAACAATTTTTTTTTGTTCTTAATTATTTTTTTTTATATATGTAAATATTTATTTTTTATTAATAAGTAATAATATTAAAACTTAGAAGTGATAGAAAAAGTCTAATTGCACATTTGAAAACATCGCGAAAAGTCGATTTAGTAAAGTATATTTTTGTTTCTGATGAAAATTCCTTGTAGTCCAGTGTATGAAACCTATAACTTTGTTATAAGTAATAAACATTTTTTATTGAAAAGTATTGCATCAAGCTCTTTAAATTTTTATACGCGTAAAGTAAAGAAATATACAACTACTTTATTATTTTTATAATATCTTCATTAAAATTACAATATTAAATTATTGAATATCAATATTATACTAAATGTACTTACTATAATTATTATTTATTATAATTATATATCAAATAACTAATCGGGATAAAAATAAGGGAATAAGAGTTATTGTTGCTTTTGAAATAATCTACCAATTTCTTAAAATTAAACACTATCTACAGATTTACATCCAAGCGTTTCTTATGATAGTGATTTTAATCAGTGTCAGATATCATCTATATTTGTCCCAACTATACCACGTCTATACGTTGCCGCGATCCCACTTTGCTACCGTTTTTATACTATTCTTATAAACCTTCTTTAAATCAATTACTAATTAAAAATAATACAGTGGATTTTCGGATGAAAAAAGAAAAACTATTCGTAAAAATTATACCTTTTAGGAGTTATCAAGCATTAAAGCAGCAAATTATAAAATTTTCGGAAAATGGCCAATCACTACTTATACATCATTTCTATGTACGTTTCAATAAAAATAAATGAAAAATAGGAATTCATTGCAATTAATTAAAATATTTCATTTCACATATAATAACTTAATTACTCCGGAATTCTGAATTAGATTAGAAAACAATATTTTTTTAAAATACTGAATTAGTGTAATTATGTTTAGAATTTTGATTTTTTTTTTGTAAAATACAGTAAAGAGGAAAGGTTATCTCATCTTAAGAGCTTACTATTCATGTTTAAGTTTAGACTTACATAATTTACTTACTCGTTCCTATAGGGGAGAGTAATGTAAAATAATTTTCATATAACATTTTCATTACATATCAGAATAAAACATGTTGCTTCAAGTGGGTAGAAGTTCCCAGGAATGCTCCATCAATAAATATCCTAAATAATAAAAGCTCAGCACAGTGGGAACGTGGCATAGTTGGGTCAAGTATGATATCTGACATTGATTAAAATATATCAAAAACTATCATAAAAAACGCTTCGATGCATATCTGTGTTTAATTTTAATAAGTTGATGGATTATTCCAAAAGCTACATGATCTTCTATTTTCTTATTTATATCTTGATTACAAGTTTTATGATTTATAACTATAATATATATATATATTATTTAATGAAACATAGAAAAAAACACTTTTCTGGGAATATTACCTGGAGTGCTCGGATTTTTAAAAAATTGTTTTCAACGAAAGTTCTCGGTCACCAAATTTCGAGGAAATTATTGGCAAAGGTTGGAAAATTTTTGACGCTCGGCCGCGAGCGTTTTAAAATTTCGACCGTTTTTTGAGAAAAACGTTTGCTGACGGCAGCGTTTTACGACTTAAGGTTTGAAAATTTCACCAGACCCGTATAATGATATCTCTGAGATATGATAAAAAAATCAATTCAATCCGTTCATTTTATAACCCTCACTTATTTCCCTCGATTTCTCTCCTTTCCACTTAGTTTCCTGCACACAACAAATGTTAACTTTTCTCCTCTTTAATACTTCTACTAATTCTCAACTTCTATTAGTTAATATTTTAACATTCCAAGTACCTATTCTTAATTTGTACTTTCTCCCTTATACACGAGTCCAGTCTAGAGTTAAGCGGTGATGTCCCAACACCGATGACACTACAAGCGTTGGGTAGACCTGTTCATATGACTGGTGAAACAGCTACCGCACAAGTTGTCCGGCTGGTATCAAACATTTTATTCCTTAGGCCTTCTCCGTTTTTTACTACTTTATTCCCTCTAACCTGTTGTCCCCGCGTAAATCCGAGATGGAACAATTCGCCTAAGTTTTGTTCAGGACACCTAATACTATTCGACAAAAATTTTACGACGGTTATCAACCTGAGGCATCCTCATTAGTCACCTCTTACGAATAGCAGAGGGGCCGTAGAAGTATTCTTATCCACAGGAAAAAAAAAAGTTTACCAAGTAAAAATAAAAATAAAAAAATTATAAAACAATATAAAAAAACATTATCTTTTTGGAAGTATTATCGTAAGTAGTAGTATTATCGTTAGTCTAAGATTATATCACTAATAATGTAAAACAAATAAGGTTTATATTATCTATGATTATAGCAACAATTTTTACCGAGTGATAATAAAGTATCCATTTTTTGTTATCAACTGTTTCCATATCAATGTTATTTTTAAGAATTTTCCAACGTTATTATTTATATTTTTTAAGTGTAGACATATTACAATTAATTTTAGGCTTTGAATATGTTACATTATACAATGTCATTTGTACAATTACCAATGTGTATATTAAAATTTTAGTTTTTCTGTGCAGCTATTGAAAATTTTTGTGTAACTTCGAACTATCAAAAATTTTGAATGTTGCATCGTTTGAATAATTTTTTGTAATAAAAACTACTACGAAGAGTTTTAAAATAGTTAAAACTTTGACGTCAAATTATTATAATATCACTATGACTGAAGAGAATAATACTACTATGGAAGTACCATCTAATGACCAAACTGATTTGGTGGTCAAGAATGCACCTGATACCGAACCATTATTTGTTGTTGACACAACTCAACACTCCAGTAGAACTTGTGAAGCTCCTTTATATCATGAAGTAAAAATTTATATCTCATATTTAATACACGTACTGCTAGAGAATTGTTTTGTAGAGAGTAGAAAAAAATAAAACGCAAACATTTTTAATCGGTTTCTCCCCCATGTTAACCAATATATTATCCCTCATTAACTAAATATCAAACTATTTTTTTATGTAATTATTTATTATTTAATTTTGCTAATAAATTGATTATATTATGATTTCAATAAATGTTATAAATAAAATGTTGAATTTAATATAACTGTTACTAATTAGTACAATGTAATATAATGAAAAAAATTCTTTCAGAATATTATGTTTTTGGAAAAAAATGATGATGCATCAAATAATGAAAAAAAAAAAGAACCTACTCAAAAACAAAATTCTTGTTGGAATTGCTCATCTACAAACCATGCGTTAATGAATTGTCCAAAACCTAGAGATCAACGTACCATTACCAAAAACAGGCAACTGTTCAAGGCTCAAAAATTAATGCAACCCGGTGGTAGAAATAACAGAAACAGGTAAGGGTGGATTAAAGTATGTCATAATTATAACTTAAAATTCCATTTAATAATGTCAAATAAATATAAAAATGATTGTATTTATTTTTATGAAAATATTATTTAATTATGCTGATTAATTAATCTTTTTATATGTTTATGTTGAAACAATTTTTTTTTGATTAATTTCCTGGCTAGGGTGTGTAAATTTATATTTTACAATCAATAATATAAATTGTAGATAAAAATGTTATATTTAGAGCATCAGCTAAAAGATTTACTCGATATTATTTGGAAGATGGCCCTGAAAACAAATATGATAAATTTGTACCTGGTAAACTGAGTATTAAATTGGTAAAAGCATTAGGCGTACCTAAAAATGGACTTCCTATACATATTTATCGGATGCGTAAATTTGGATATCCAAATGGATGGCTCGAAGAAGCCAAAGTTAAGCATTCAGGAATAACATTATTCGTTGATGCTAATCAAAGTATTTACACTATAAACTTATTATTGTTTTGTTTAAATTTAAATTAATTTTGTATTTATAAACTTAAAGGTGAACCATTGTCTAAAGGAGAAGACGGTGAAATTGATGTTATTAATTTTAAAATTGACATGGGCAAATTGTACAAGTATCCTGGTTTTAACACGCCAAGTCCTCCTAATACAATTGATGTAAATTTAATTTTTAAAAATCATTGACTTTCATTGTTACAACAAGCTTCATAATTTTTTAGGATCATAAAAAATATGACTGTCCTCGATTCGATCCAAATCAAAGTCTTCAGAATATGTGTGATAAATTCAAAGATTACAAATTGAATCCTTATAAGCGAGCCAAACTATTGTTTCCTGGGGATACTACTCTGAGCAATGAAGAGATGGACATTGTAACTAGTTCTGATGGTGAGTATTATCAAATGTTAAGGAATACCTTAGATTGGTGTCATATAACCACTTGTAGAAGGAGAGATAAATAATAGTATACTCATTAAAGCCAAAAAAAATATTTTCAAGATTATTATATTTTTAAGTAAAAATTTAATGGTCAATGATTAATTAATCATTATGTGCATATACTATTTTTTTAATAATAACTTAGGGATAATTACTTATTGAGTTACAAGAGTGGGGGTATGTAATGTGGTTAAAGTATGCATTATAAATTTACATCAGTGTGGAGGCATGAAGTACTCGATAACAGTACAATAACAATAAGAGCTCGAGCTACATACAAACTCTTTGTATTAAAATACTTGTAACTCAACACAGTACTTGTCTTAAAATCCTTTTCGATTTATCAACATTATTTTGTAAAAAGGACTAAATAATGACTTTTAATGTTGAAAAAAATTCAATTAAATATGTTTTCTTATTAAAGACAAATAATAAAAAATATGCTTTTAACATAGTCTAAAAATACAAAAAATTGTTTTAAATCGAATACCTTTCTAGGTGTTGATGAAAGACGCAACTTGATTTTTTTTTGAGTTTATTAAAAAAAAGCATATTTGTCTATTTATAACAGAGGTATAAAAACCTAAATGCATATTTTACAACATGAGGTGATACCATATCTTTTTTGGAATTTTATGGCAAGTATATTTTTTCATTTCCTTCAGAGTCCTAAGACATTGGGACATTCACATTTTATAATTGTTCAAAAAAAAAAGACAGTTTCTACGGTCTATCTATCTATTTAATGAATAAATCAATATTAGTGTAAATAATCGAAGGTTATAATATTGAGTGAATAAAATTACCTTGATAAAATGAGATTTGTTTTTTTCTCCTGAAAAATTGGAAAAATAAATATAGATTGCTGTACATCTCAGGTACAGTTGTGTATTGTTTAAAAAATGTTTGACCAATAAAAATAATCAAATTAATCTTTTTTCCTTGATGTTGTCAATATGCTTTTAGCATATAATTCTATATATATATATAAAAATAATAATGTTTTGAGTTTTTGTTGATATCATGTCTATAGTTAACATTTTCAAATTTATGATTTATAGAAAATGTTCGCCTGCCTGAAGAAATCACGACTTTAGAAGTTAAACCTATTGATTATTTGCCATCATCTCCTGAAGATGGAGAAATTTTAGAAAGTGAAAACAATGTATTTAAAGAAATTAAACCTGAGGTAATTTATAGTATTAGTGAATTTTATGCATTCACAAGGTTAGAGGGTATACGAGCTAATCTTAATTCTTGATTATAAAAAAATTGTACCATTACAAATTATAATTTATCAACTTTTTACTATAAAAAGCTGTATATCACATTTTACTATATAATTATGGAACGAATACTTTTTTAATTAGTTATTAAAATAAATAAATTGGTTATTTAAGAATCATACTTCATGTTTTTGAAAAATAATGGTACACATTATTAAAAATAATGAAACGTGCTCTACTGAAAATTTGAGAATTTTTATTTTCAATTAAGCGTTGATAATTTTCTTCAAAGTCAATGCTATAGTAAACACATAGTTTTAGAAAAAAATCCAGTTACTCGTATTGTTTTTCATAATAACATAGCAATGTTTTCTACCATTGAATAAACATGAAAAAATTCAAACTAAACAAACTTTAAAAAGTTGTTGAAATTTAAGAACTAAATTTAATAATAACATTAAATAAAAACAGTTTTTGGTATCGAAAATTTCCTTTAAATTAAATCGGTAATATTTTCAAAAAAATTTAGAAGTATCCCAAACACGATATAATAGTACAAAATAATTGTAAATGAGTACAAAAAATAAGTTTAGAATGTAGACCAAATATGTGAAAATTAATTAAAACTATAAGTTAGATCTGTTCCACCTTATACAAATAAATTTTTATGAAATTATTTTTAAAGAGTTTTATAAAGAGACATTAACGTGTGTTTGTAGTCTTATGTAGGGGTGTATTTATTTATTTATTACAAATAGATAATATATTTTTATTGTTTAATAGTTTTGTGGGATGTAGAACTTAGAACTTAAGTAAAATTTTTATGGTAGTAAAAATAAAAAAAATGATTATTATTTTACTATATTACAGTTGGCTGAAATTAACACTAGTTTTGAAGCTAATGGTCAAAACCATTTAGAAACTAGTGAATACCACAGTGTTTCAATTTACGAGACTTCCAGTAAAGAGTTGGTTGAAAAAGAATGTGAAAATCAAAATTCAAGCGTTATTAGTAACTTTGAAAATAATGAACAAGTTGATAGTGAAAAAAGCCTTAATTCGACATCTGAATCTCCTACTAAGAAACAATTTAGTGAGCTCAAATGTGAATTTGTAGGAACTCCAGTACTAAAGAGATTTTCATCATATGAAAATCGTCCGGATCATGATAAGTTTTCTAAGGGAATGGTTGATATAATCGACCATGAAAACTTACCTAATGCCACTGGAACGTTTAGTAAACTTAAAGAGATTTTAAAAGATGTTCGAAAAACACTCAATAGTTTATTATGAGTTGTACCTCTGTTGATAGACTATATATATATTAAAAATATATAAGTAACTCCAATCGATATCATTATTTTATTTAATTAATATTGTTGTTTTTTTTTTTAGTCAACCAATTTAAAATATTATTGGTTAAGCATTTGACAAATCTTTCTTCATTATAATTAACTATTTCATATATTTAAATACATTTCATTGATGTAAAAAAAAATAATATTAAGATTTTTAAAAATACTAAAAACTTATTTTAATTTTAAACATTTAAGAATAAAATATCACTATAACTAAAATATAACTATATGTATATAATTAATTCAATTAATTTTTATATATTTATATATAAATTGTGTACATATTGTGTTGTAATATTATTTTGTGTTAACCTATATTGCTTGATAAAGTTTTCTTTGAAAAGCATGGTCTAAATAAATTATAAATATATATAGTTTATTTGCATGTTAAGTTTATTGATAGTATTTGTAATTTTATTTCATTTTTTTCATGATTTTATTGTTGAAAAATGTTTATAAAAACGTCTTTTGTTTGATATGTTTTTTTGCTTTATATTATTTCTTGTGTACGTTTGGGGATTTTAGAATGCAAGAATATGTGTGTTTTTTTTAACTATGAGATAATGTGGTTCAAAGTTTTTGTTTACTTCATTAAAACTGTAAAAATAAAAATATTTTTTTAGTCTATTAGTGTTATTTAATTTATTTTTCAATTTAACTACTTAGTATAATTCATAGTTTTCAATTTTACGTTAACACAAACTAAATATTTATGATATGTCACTTATACTTCTTGCATTGTGAATTCTTCAGTTAGGTACACAGTTTTGTTTTATGCAAGTAATATACACATTAAAAACGCGTGTTAAATAAACATAATGTAATAAATTATACAGTAGTGATAATTTTTTTTATTCGAAAACAATACTATAAAATACACTTAATTCAAATTATTTTATTTATTATTAAAAAATTATTTTTACTTTACAGCCAAAATATAATATAGTTATTGAGCTTAATTTTTAAATTTTTTTTGATCTATTTAACTAAATTTTATGGAAAATTTGTAAACATAAAACATTACCAATATTAAAATAATATTTCTTTATAAAATGTAGGTATGAAAAAAGCCAGTTAAATTATTAGAAATTATAAAAATATCAATTCTTAATTATTATTTTTTTACATAAATATAATTGTAATGTATTACTCAAATAAGGTTATAAGAAATATTTTTAAGTTTGAATTAAAAAATAAAATTTTCTGTAAGTGTGACAAAGTTCATATTTAAATAGTACTTTTAAAGTTTTTTTTTCATAATATTTTGGCAACAATTTTATACACTACATAGTACATACTAGCTTGTACATAGTACAAGTGCAGATGAATACTCCATTTTTGTTGGATATTATTTTAATTAAAAATAATTAGTTATATTATAGTTGTTCTATAACGACTTTTATTTATTATTATATATTTTAAACCTTTAACTATATTGAAGAAAAATTGATTAGATACATGAGTAATACAATATACAAATATAAAAATGATGAAATAAAAAATATATATAAATATATAATTATATTTCATTTATCTAATTTTTAATACTATATATATATTATAGTCTTTAAGATTTAATAATACTATCGTGATAGTTAAAAAAAAGTATTTTCTTTTTTTACTTTCGATTTTTATTTATTTATTTATTTTTGCAACTATATTCATTGTATTGGTAATTTTTCGTCAATTCGCCCTCTTGTCATACTTTGAGAACGAGTCCGTTCTTTTAAAATAAGATCAAAAAAGCTAATTTATAATAATTTGAAAAATGTAATGAACACGAATTTTTATTTAATAAAAAAGGCTATTATTATATTTTATATATTACGACTAAAGAAACTAGTCCTTATTTATTTATATATTAGCACGCACTTTTATTTAAATCGATCCAGCCAATTATCTTGTATTTAATTCATTCTTTTTCAACAATTTTATTCTGTATAATTACTAATTTATATTTCTGTACATTTTAAAGGAATTATTTTAATCGAATATTCGAATCTATAACTATTCTGTAATATAAATCTATAAACATTTCTTAGGCATTAAATTAAATTTTATCTATTCACTACAAATTAGATTGGTTTAGATTTATTTATATTCTAATTTTATAAAACTCGAACGTATATTGTTAAACACTTTTTGGTCTCTTTACGTCTATGTATAAAAATGTTAATAACTTAAACACAGTCATAACTCGTATCTGGTATTTTATATAAATATAAAATTATCATGGTGGAGTCATCATAAAATATAAGAAATTGTAATTTTATTCTAAAAATAGTGGTTCTTATTCTAAATGAGTAGCTTTAATTTTGTCAATTGGTTCTATTTAAGTAACTTGTTTTGCATATAAATCCATAAAGCATTATAAAGGTTAATAATATTAGTCATTATTATTATTAATATTAATATCAATGAGCATTATAAGTATTAAATTATAATATCAATAAATGCACTTGCATTTCTTTTTCTAAAAAACGTAATTCGTTTCTCTTTAATTATTCTATTAATAATCAAAATTTATTTCGTTATTCTCATGTAAAAGATTTGGGCATTATTTTCGACTTTAAACTCTTGTTTAACCCCATGTATTATTCATAAAGAAAAAGCATTCTGTATGTTCGGTCTTATAAAGTGTAATTATACAAATTTCAATAAATTAAATGAAAGTTCTTTACACTTCTTTTATTCGTCCTCAACTCGAGTATGCAACAATAATTTGGGAAACTCACAATACAAGCCACCCCATATTCAAATTTTTTTTTTTTTTTATTTACAATTTGAATACACAATATGTACAACATAGCACAATAGGTATATATGATATACTAATAGTAACATGAACCCTTGGTGACACTTGGCTGGGAATTAACACTGTCTAGAGTCTAGAATTTGATTGTTTTTTTTTTTTTTTATTATTATTATAACAAGTTACGACACCAGTTCCTCATATTCAAATTAAAAAAAAATTCAGAATAAATTTCTTAGATTTATTTGTTTTAAATGCAATATATACAGACCCCTCACTCTGGTTATACTAATATTTTAAATGTGTTGAATATAAGTACATTAAAAATTAGAAGAATTCAATTTTATTTTTCATTTGTTTTTAAACTTCTAAATAATAAGGTAGATGATTCTTTTTTATTAAATTGCATATCTTTTAAAGTTAATTGTATTAATGTAAGAAATAAAGATTTATTTTGTACTCCTCACAGTTCTAATAAATTCTTATCTTGTGCACCTGTTCATATTTTATCCACTGTTGGGAATCAATATAATTATTTAGTTAATATTAATGTTTTTTTAACTGTTGTAATTATGTAGTGTTAATTAATTAATATTTTTGTTTACTTATTGTATATTATTTTATTTTATATAGTTATTGTATATATTCTTTTGTTTATTCTATATATTATCACATTCTGTAGTTATTTTGTGAAATTTGGACTTATTGTCCGTAAATAAATAATTAAATATATTTTACATGTTTTAATAATTTTTTAAGATTAAGATAAAGATTTTTTAATTGCATATAAATCCGTACTCACGGTATACAGTATTAACGATAAACTATTTTTTAATTGTCGTAAAAATAATTTTATTTCGTTTATTAGATTACATTTTTATTTTAGTAATGTTTAAATTGCAGATATTCAACTTACAAAACAGAGTATTCATTTTCACCTTTTCCAGAAAATCATGTACGATTCATTATGTTATTATTTTTAAAGTGTATTTTGAAAGTGCAACTCTATTGCCTTTGTACAATTCTACCCTTATATAGATTTTTTTCATTAACTGTGAAAGTCATTAGGTACACCGAATTTCGATTTCCCACTGTTTTGGGGCGCAATCTGGTTCATTAAATATATTTGATACCACAATGAAAAAGTATAAATTAATATTTTATAAAGACTAAATAATTAAAAAATATTTAATAAAGAATCTCTCGGTTAAAAATATATACTGTTAACGAAAAATAATTTCGGGTATTAGAAAACCATAGATTTATAATTATAAATGTGACCAACATTTGGTCCTTAATTATAGGTAAACACAAATAAAAAATCGTTACTTAATGTCATGAATACGTTTGTCTAAAACGTATCCGTATAAACTTTTATTAATCATATAATTTATTCATATAGAGCAGAGTTGATGCATACACTTCTGTTGGATAATTGTTTTCCATAAAAAAATTAATATTGTTATATTGTACACTATGCGTTAATTGGTTAAAGTCGATCACTTACAGCGCTAGCTGTGAAACTCGCAATGCGTTAACAGTCGTTTTCGAAGCAACAAATCGTTCTATTTCAGGTTGCAGCGAAGAGGAAAATGTCGACGCGTCCAGTAATCCGTCTTATCTATAATCACGTGTGTTAATCAATAATGCAAAAATCGATATGGAACTCTCGTAATAGTGGCCTTAAAGTGATAGCTAAGCCAATTAGCTGCACTACTAATGAGTGCGCCCCATAGGTTAATTTTCAGGGAAACAAACTTTACACTATCTTTTTTTTTTTGCTTATCACTCCTTAAATATCATTCAAAACGATCGTGGTATATTAAACAAGAACAAACTTAGTTTACTAATAATAACATGACATGTCTATATTCATGTATAATTCAAATTTAAAAAGCTAAAACGACTGTGACATGGTCGTAGCAGTCTACAAGAGCAGTCTTTTATTTATAAAAACATATTTTAGGTTACTAATGTATAGGATGTTAACGGTTTGCCCGAATGAGAAGTATGCAACAAACACAGAATGACGTAAAGCAATAAAATGTTTAAAAAATGTAAAAAAAAAACGACGTTAATAACAGAAACACGACGGTTTCAACAATAAAATTTAGAAAATAATAATTTCAGCCCTCTATAACTATTTTTTTACGCTGACATGTTCCTCCTACGTTACTTGCTGTAAAGTGCGCCCGGTCCGAAGATAAGCTTAGATTTAGTAGGGCGTATTTGTTTTACATCAATCACTACCGAGAATAAATTTTTTTATTAAATTGAAATCATCGGATATGATTCACCGACATCGAACTCGCGATAGAAACTGTTACTACATTTAACGTAATAGACGCTTATTGAAAATCACTTGAAGTATCCTGTGTTGGAAAAGAAAAATCTTTTAGTGACGTTGCAGTTGGATAGTAACGACCAAAAATAGACTTATAAGAAGCATGTGAAGTTGGTACGTTGGGCGAGGGGATCAAAGATGGGTTTTACACGATCGAGTGTATCGTACCGTGTAATTGGATCCGTTTCGGTGTACTCTCTCCCGTTTCTCTTCAACACCATCTCACTTAAGGGTTGATTTGTAGAGCGCAGTATTGTGACATTTAAATTAAACCGTGATAAAACAGAAGGGCTTGGCCCGTCTCGTGGCAAAAAAAAGAAAAAAGAATTATTGCTCTCCTTTTGCTGTTTATCCCTTCCACCGCGCTAAATTTCTCAGTTTCACCATTTGTTGCGGATAATTTGCTTCCTACCAGCTCTTACCAGCTTTTACTGTAAAAAAAAAAAAAGTAACGCTCCCCGTTCTTTTTTTAAAATAACCATATAGACCGGTGCGCACAAAAAGGGTTAGAATAAAGGGGAAATAGTTAATTTATTCGAGCAGCAATTTGTCAAGTCCAATTAAGCTGTTCAGTTGGCTTTTCGATTAAGAAGACAAAAATTGCATATTTTTAATTCAAATCACGATGTAAATAAATTTTATATCTAAAACAAAAACACGTGCCATTAAAGATTGTCATTGCAGAATTCTATTATATATATTATATCATATATTACATTTTACTACACTTAGAACTATTATTAAATAATAAGTTTTTAATATTCAAACTTGTTCACAGATTATGAATATAATATGGGATAATAAAATAAAAAATTTTATTTTTTTGGAATAGGTTATTTTGAATGTTACAAAAATAATTTTTTAAATCAAACTTTTATTTGTTAAACAAATTTTAAAATTAATAGAAGTATAGCTCACGTAAAAATCGATATTTAAGAGAAATTTTTTTTTATCATATTTTTCTATTATAAATATATATATATATAATATATATTTATTACTGTTATTAATAACTGTAAATGGTTTATAGTGTAAGAACATTTATTACTATGTTCTTACCACTTATATTACACACGTTTTATTTCTATTTATTTAATTCGTAATACATATTAATTAGCATAGAGGGAGATGCTGATGTGACAATTCTACTCGTCTGTAGCCCGGAGCTACTGACGTCGAACTAACAAAGGGCAGTTGTGTTTGAGTGGCCGTTATAGACATAGTTTTCAATACTATTACTTTCGTCTTATTTATATTATTTATAACTTAACTTGTTTTATT